GATGTCACCGCAATAGAATCCAGAAAGTCACCAATATAGTAGCCCAAAATGTCACCGAACAAAATCAGAATGTCGTTGACATAAGTCGCCAATGTTGGTGAATACAAAATCCTAACCCAACCGATGTCTGATCTGTGATGCTGCCAGGTATCAATCCCAAATACCCCCCGATGTCTCAGATCCGGTAAGCACCAAGTCTTCCTGCCACCGAAGTACAATCACTGACCTCTGTCCTTCTCGTATCCAAAGTCTCTCATCTGAAGAAGAGGAAGAAGAGGGTCTGGAGAAGAAGAAGAGGAAGAAGAAGGAGAAGAACTGAAGAGGAAGATCTGGGGAGGGCAGAGGAGAGGTGGAGATGGCGAAGTAGGGAGGAGGAGAGTCCTCACTCCCGGATCCCGTACCCAGGCCCTTACCTGCAGGTGCAAGGAGGCACCTTGGAGCTGTTGAAGACCCGCGGCTTCAACCTGGAGCTATGGCGCTGCGCAGGTAAGCCGGTAAGTACCCGTCTACCACATCTAATCGGCAGTCAGCGCTAATTAGCGCTGCTGTGCTTGGAGCTGCGCTAACCCAAAATTAGCGCAGCGCTGCTCCTCAACTGCTGCCGTTCCTCCAGAAGGTGGACCCAAACGCCAAAGATCCTGAACAGACCGCCGGTCGGTCCTAAGTACCGGCGGTGGCCTGTTCGGCCTTGAGGCTGCAAAAGTGCCTCGTGATCTGAACCGTCAGATTTCGTATCCGATCTGCAGTTCAGATCAGATTCGGGGAGGGCAGCCTCAAAGTCGGCCGCCAGGTCCAAACGGTAATGCCGTTTGGACCGGTCCCCGTCTGGGCCTGTCTAAGGGCCTACGGGGCGACCTGGAAAAGAAGGGGTCCGGCCTTTGGGCCGGACCGGCCTGGACTACCGTATCCAGGCCCTAGGTAGCCCTCGGTCCTGTCGTCGGGTTGGCATGGCCCGTGTGTAATGCAGAATGTAACAGTAGTCCTCCATGGCGGTCAGCAATACAACAGTCGGTCAAACAAACGACTTTCGTTCCACTCCCTACCTTCCACGTAGGACTCCAGCCTCAAAACATAGTCTTTCACCTAATACCGTTGATTCAACTTTCTACCACCTTTCCAGTATGACCGTCACTACAGGTCCCCCAACATCATCAACCAAGCCAACCACCGATTTTAGGACTGCCAGCACATCCTTAAGACTTATTTAATGCTGCAAACAGGACGACATGGCTTGATGACGAAGTAGCTTCCCTCTCAAGACTTAGACCGGCCCCTCGTTGAGTCGCACGGTTCACAAGCACGCTGGTAAGCACCCGGCTTCGGGCTAGCCGGGTTATTTAACAAGCGCCCGCCGCTCAACACCCCTCCTGCTACTTTACATGGTCGCCTACCAGGTGTCGAGCCCTACTAGAACTAAGTTGTTATCGATAGAAATTTGATTCGAAAAGAATTGCCCAGCAGCTTTTACATCAGAAGGGAAAGACTGACAACATCCACAAAACGAAGCAAACAAATGCAGAAATTGACAAGGCTAGGTTCAGAAGCACTTCAATTATGCTTGATGTCGCCAGCTGCTGCTCAATGGCACTTCAGGTGAGTGTCTACTTCTATCTCCAGCCTCTTCTTCCTCTGGCCTTCCAATTTCCCCCAACTAGGGTCAACTACCCCTCGACACCCCGCCGGCCTGAATCGATGTTGGCCTCAACTTCCTCCTTCAACAGTGCAACAAGAGCACACTCTGATGCTAGTGCCTGATTCCAATTCAGCTCCAATCGTAGACATGCATAGCACCGAATTCCACATTCAGCACTCAAAACAAGGCAGCGAGACTGAAATCAGCCGAAAAAAGAGATTATTATCCCCGAAAGACCAAACTTGTTCAAGTTCCAAGCTCATTGAAAGGGTTTCACCCAGTTCGCGCGACAATAGCAGATCCCAGGGCTCGATCCCTAGACCTATCCCGTACCCTTATACAGTTGCCCGACGCCCCTGTGTGCCTTGAACCCACGACCTGTCGCCAAAAACGTACGTCTGTGTGTTGAATGCTTAGTTGGGTAGTGTGGACTTGAACCGTAGGTCTTAGTTTCAACAGTTCAGGGTCAGTCCTATAGGTTAGCCCTAAGTGTAGCGAAGGGTCAGGCAACATAGCCTGGGACTTTCTAGAAGTCGCTACTTGGCTCTTCGAAGCTGTAGGAGTCAGTCGCCAGTAGCTGAGTCAGCAAAGTAGAGTCTAGTCCTAGCCTAGTCAGCGGTCCCAGTCTAAAGTCCCAGTCCACCTTGTCCAGTCAGCAAGTACCAGGTGGGGCTGTACACTTCTTGGGCCTGGGACCGGAGGAAGGCCAGACCACTGACGAAACAGTATAAATAAAGAGGCAGCGCCGAGCCATTCACTCATTCGCCTGCGAGCCATGCGGAAGCGCTGCTCGTGCGACTTGTGCATTGGAGGTCTGCAGGAGCCCGACGAAGAAGAGGGTGAACGGCCATAGACGCTAGAGGAGGAGGAAGATGTCGGCGGCCATAGCCGCCGAGTTGCTGACGACAATAAATAGAGTGCAGTGTGTGTGTGTGGAGACATTCAGGGTGGATCCTAGTGCGTGTGTACATGTGCGTGAGTAGAGTGAGAGTGTCTGATGGTGCAGTGTTTGGGTGGGAATTCAGACAGGCGTTCAGACGCCATAGCCGCAAGCTGTGACAGTTGACTTAAGCTGAGTTCCTGGCCAAGGGCCATATATCTGAGTTTTCTGTGTGGGCGCTGTGCGCCATCTCAAGTTGCTGCTGATTCTGCGTTGACGGAATTGTGTTGCCATCGGCACCTACATGTATGCATGTCGCAAGTGAAGTTGAACAAGTCTGATTGCATCATAGTACATGCGGCTATGGCCACCAGATCATCACGCTCACTGAAGTAAGTAGTCTCTCTCTCTCTCTCTCTCTCTCTCTTTTGGGTACCCCTTTTATTTTTTCTTGCAGCTCCCCTTTTACAGTCCCTCTAACATAGAATGCTTGCCACATTGATTGTGGTTGAGCACGAGCTGCCCACACCCCCGTGTGCCATAATGGCCGACTTGGAAACTATGAAAGGAGGCAGAGTAAGGAAGGAGGTATACTCCTGTTCGTTTTTCAGCAGACCTTCAGCTTATATGTTGCCTGTTCCTTTAATGATGCTCATTCATATGCATTTAGTAGTAGTACATGCGAGAAGGGAGGAAGGAAAGGGGCAAGGGGTGGGGTTCTGCAGGAAGCAAGGGGCGGGGAAGGCATAAGGAGAACATGAGGGAAGTGGAGGGACAAGGAATAGACCAGACAAAAGATAAACTTCACAGGTTCTCAATACTCACTGCTGGAGCAGACTACTGTAGAATGGTACAACAGGCCGGTCAGTGTTTGGGTTGGAGGGAAATTAGAGTTCAGGAGCAGTCGTGGCCTACTGTAAGTGGCCACCCCTGCAGACCGCACTGGACTGGTTCGGATGTGGATTGTAGAAGCACCGTAGTGAATGGCACGGCGACGACAGATGCTATGAACCTCTCGTGGCTCCTACATGCTAGGAACACCGCAGCATGCCGACCGCAATTGTTTAGGCAGTGGTTCCAGCCCCTGTCGACCATTTGGACAGGCCTCGTCAGGTTCTTGTACATGAGTAGAATTTTGACTTTCATCATACGTATGAAAACAAGAGCTTGCATAAGCTGTACCTTCATAATCCTAACGACACAAAGCATGCCAATCACATGCTAGCCAAATCTCAGGTGGGCCATCACAGTGTGGCCTTGAGCAAGTTTCTTGGGTTTCCGCAGAACAGTATTCCCTCTCTATGGGCAGGCGATGACGGAGCCTGATCCAAAATGGGCAGGCGATGACGGAGTCTGATCCAAAGTAAGAGTGTTTAGCTGTTGCAAGATCTAGCCTGCTAACAGCTCGCCTTGGTGGTGATAACCTTTCAGTACAGCGCACAGTTTATGGTTCATGCGATAGTCTATTTTCCGCCTCAGGCCGCTGTGTCTGTTGCTCGTCTGGCAAGGATGAAGGACATCCAATTACGGGTGCAGCAGTTGTATGTCCAATGTTGCATGTGGGACATGCACGGAGAGGATGTCGTGGTCTATGGCATCAGGGATAATCCACGCAGTAGAGACATACTTTCCATGACAGCATCCTGGAATGAGCGCACTGTAGGTGGTTGATGTGAGAGTCTATTTTCCACCTCAGGCTACTGTATCTGTTGCTCGTCTGGCAAGATGAGGGATATCGGATTATGGCGCAGCAGGTGTATGCCCAATGTTGCATGTGGCACATGCACGGCGAGGATGTGGCGGATGATGCCCTTGGGGATAGTCCATGCAGCAGAGAGTCTAGAGACACATACTTTACATGACAGCTTCCTGGATCCATTGACGTGCATGCGTGCTCCCCACTTAAAGGCTTTAGATTCTTTAGAACTTCAGAGACTAGTAAAGCAACCCTAAGCAGGAGCGAACTCCAAAATAGGCAGGGGGATTCATCAACACAATCCATGACCATCAAAGCAGCCCACCCCCTTTAGCTGTATCCCAAGGTTCAAGTGATCAGGTTATCCTACCCATTTTGCTCTCCAGTCCCATTACCAATGTGCACGTCCTGTCCGTGGACCTTACCCCACAGCTGAAGAGCAGTCTACCACACTGCTTGATAAACAAACCCAGTAGGATACTTCTGACATTTATCTGAAAGCAGGAACAGAAGCACTGTCTTCAGGTCCTTCTGAGAAGAAGTCTGAATGGAAGCATATTCGACTTCAAGAGAGATTTATTGATACTTATCATTTATGTACTTTGACAAGTTCTGTGGTGTCATCGTTCCGCATGGTATAAGGTAATCATGCCCGTGCAGGACTTGCTTGGATGGCCAGTCTCACATCTGGAAAAGACACACAATCGTTATCCTGGATCTATCTCTCCTTTCTCTGGATGGGCAGTAGGAGAGAAAAAGTGATAGGCAGCCGCAGTTCATTTCATCCATACCGGGAGGTTGGTGACACTACTGCTCCGTAGTAACCTGGATTCTGGGACTGGGTTGGGTCTCCCGCAAGTCCGGCGGCATATGCAGAATCACTGCAAATCCCATTTGAGTACCTGCAAAAACAGTAGTCCGGGAGTTCAAATAACAAGTAACAGTTCTAAGAAATACAAAAAATGATGTTGGTTTTGCGGGTGGTGTTGCAGGGTATAGACTAACAAACAACACTCAAAACGAGTACTCAAGTAACCGACAGTCCAGCACAAAATTTCAAGACGTGGGAAAGAGCATCATCGTCATGTACACCCATCAGCACTCCCTAGACCGTGTTGTACGTGTCTTGGTGTCCGCCTCACTTCTCCACTTAACTGCTCCGTCAACCCACCAACCCACTGACCGACCAACATCACTCAGAGCTGTGCTGGACAAATAGGATTAGCACTGAAACACTTCCTCACCATATACTTTTAACTCTGTTACGACAATCGAACAGTTACCATAGCCAACTGCCAAGATGCCCCGCATGTGTGAGCGAGATCTTCCAGAACAGATGCGCAAAAAAGAATTCTGAAAATTCTTTCCTCAGGAACTCTTTTTGAAGCATCAGTATCTGCACTGGAAAGCAGTTTTAAAAACTTTTTTAACTGGGTGAGGACGGCGCCTGGCCGGGCGTGCCCGGGCGGGCCGAAAAACACCCGAGAACTTTTTTTTTTTTTTTTTTTCTGAAGGCAGGGTCTTTCCGCGCTCGGCGAGAGGACCCCGAATCTGCAATAAAATTTTGGGTTTGGGGGGGGCGGTGCGGTTGGGGGGGGGGGGGTGGGGGGGGGTGCGGGGGGGGGATCTGCATGCATGTTGCCTGCTGAATGCTGAATGCAGGTCATCTGATATGTGCAGTGCTGGAGGCTCTGCATGTTTGTTGCCTGCTGCTGTGATGTCTGCTGCATCCATGTTGACGACACTTAGACTGACATAGATTGAAGAAGACTGGCGAGATGTGATGGAAGGAGGAGGAAAGAGGAGGAAGAAGGAGGAAGAAGATGGAGGAAGAAGATGGAGGAAGAAGGAGGAGGAGGAAGGAGGAGGAAGAAGAAGAAGGAAGAACAAGAAGGAAGGAGGAGGAAGAAGAAGGATGAAGGAGGAGGAGGAAGAAGGGATGGATGGCGAGATGGGATGGTGGGATGGATGGCGAGATGGGATGGTGGGATGGATGGCGAGATGGGATGGTGGGATGGGATGGCGAGATGGGATGGTGGGATGGATGGCGAGATGGGATGGTGGGATGGATGGCGAGATGTGACAGAAGAAGAAGGAGGAAGGAGGAGGAGGAAGAAGGGGGAGGAAGAAGAAGGAGGAAGGAGGAGGAAGAAGGGGGAGGAAGAAGAAGGAGGAAGAAGGAGGAGGAAGAAGGAGGAGAAAGAAGAAGGAGGAAGAAGAAGAAGGAAGAAGGAGGAAGGAGGAGGAGGAAGAAGGATGAAGGAGAAGGAGGAAGAAGGGATGGGTGGCGAGATGGGATGGTGGGATGGATGGCGATATGGGATGATTGGATGGATGGCGTGATGGGATGGTGGGATGGATGGCGAGATGGGATGGTGGGATGGGATGGCGAGATGGGATGGTGGGATGGATGGCTAGATGGGATGGTGGGATGGATGGCGAGATGTGACGGAAGAAGAAGGAGGAAGAAGGAGGAGGAAGAAGGGGGAGGAAGAAGAAGGAGGAAGAAGGAGGAGGAAGAAGGAGGAGGAAGAAGGAGCAGGAGGAAGAAGGAGGAAGAAGAAGAAGGAAGAAGAAGGAGGAAGGAGGAGGAGGAAGAAGGATGAACGAGGAGGAGGAAGAAGGGATGGATTGGGGATGGATGGCGAGATGGGATGGTGGGATGGATGGCGAGATGGGATGGTGGGATGGATGGCGAGATGGGATGGTGGGATGGGATGGTGGGATGGATGGCGAGATGTGACGGAAGAAGGAGGAAGAAGGAGGAGGAAGAAGGGGGAGGAAGAAGGAGGAGAAAGAAGGGGGAGGAAGAAGGAGGAAGAAGAAGGAGGAAGGAGGAGGAGGAGGAAGAAGGAGGAAGAAGAAGAAGGAAGAAGGAGGAAGGAGGAGGAAGAAGGAGGAGGAAGGAGGAGGAGGAAGAAGGGGTGGATGTCGAGATGGGATGGTGGGATGGGTGGCGAGATGGGATGGTGGGATGGATGGCGAGATGCGATGGAAGAGAAAGGAGGAAGAAGGGGGAGGAAGAAGGAGGAGGAAGAAGAAGGAGGAAGAAGGAGGAGGAGGAAGAAGGAGGAAGAAGAAGAAGGAAGAAGGAGGAAGGAGGAGGAAGAAGAAGGAGGGAGGAGGAGGAGGAAGAAGGGGTGGATGGCGAGATGGGATGGTGGGATGAGTGGCAAGATGGGATGGGGGATGGATGGTGAGATGCGATGGAAGAGAAAGGAGGAAGAAGGAGGAGGAAGAAGAAGGAGGAAGAAGAAGGAGGAAGAAGGAGGAAGAAGGAGGAAGAAGGAGGAGGAAGAAGGGATGGATGGCAAGATGGGATGGATGGATGACAAGATGTGATGGAAGAAGGAAGAAGAAGGAGGCAGAAGAAGGAGGAGAAAGGAGGAGGACGATGAAGGAGGAAGAAGAAGAAGGAAGAAGAAGAAGGAAGAAGAAGAAGGAAGAAGAGAAGGAGGAAGAAGGAGGAAGAAGGAGGAAGAAGGAGGAAGAAGAAGGAGGAAGGAGGAGGAGGAAGAAGGAGGAGGAAGAAGGGATGGATGGCGGGATGGGATGGATGGATGGCAAGATGTGATGGAAGAAGGAAGAAGAAGGAGGCAGAAGGAGGAGGAAAAAGGAGGAGGACGATGAAGGAGGAAGAAGAAGGAAGAAGAAGAATGAAGAAGAAGAAGGAAGAAGAAGAAGAAGAGAAGAGGAGCGGAGAAGGGGGAGGAGGACGTTTTTTTGTTTTTTTTTTCCGTTCGTCGTTCGCGACAACTGCCTAAGGTCGCCGAAGATGTGCCCTGCCCCAAACCGCCAAAAGGCCGAAGAAGATAAAGATCGTCGTTAACTGCCGAAGGTCGACTGATGCAACAGAAGAAGAAGAAGAAGACGAGGGGAAGGCTCGACGTGCCTGACGGCCTCCCTTCTGTTTTTCTTACCTTCCGAGTCTCGCGCGACCTAACCAACGTCCACGGTACACAAGCAGTAGTAGTAGTAGTAGTAGTAGTAGTAGTAGTAGTAGTAGTAGAAGAAGAAGAAGAAGAAGAAGAAGAAGAATGGCGGCAGCTCCTGCGAACGGCGATGGGCGAAGGGGGCAGATCCTGCAAACGACGACGGGCGACGACGACCGGCTCCAGCTGACGATGACGATGACGAGCGGGCGAGGAAGACAAGCTCCTGCGACGGCGACGACGAATGACGGGCGAAGGGGGCAGCTCCAGCGAACAACAACGGGCGGTGCAACTTCGAAAGGCTGTGGGTCGAAGGGGGCAGCTCCAGCGAACACCCACGGACGGGCTGCGGGCAAGATCGCCGCCATTCAAATCTGGGCCGGAAACTTGCGACGGCTCTGTGGCCGTCGATCAAGGCCACAGACCCGCCGCAATTTTCAAACCCACTCCCACAGGCCTATCGGGCCCAATGCCGCGGGTTTTCGGGCCCGATGCTTCGGGTTTTCGGGCCCGATGCTTCGGGTTTTCGGGCCCGATGCCTCGGGTTTTCAGGCTGGTCGGACCCGGTAGGCCTGCGGGAGCCCCAGCAGCGTTCGAAATGGGGTCGAAAAACCCCGAAATACACTGTGCGCTGGGGGGGCCCGGGGACCGACCGGGTGCACTGCCCGGCCAGGCCGCCCGGGACCCCACCCGGGCCCCCGCCGGTCCGCCGGGCGGCCCGGAACCCCACCCAGTTTTTTAACTTTTTTTTTTTTTTTTAATATCCCCGGCAAGCGTGTTTGTACAAGAACAATGGGAGAAAAAGACAGAAAAAAGGGTCTGCCTAACCCTTGTGGCACTAGTCGCCTCAGCAAGGGGGTCCTGCACCGCACTCCCCACCCCAACCATTGCCCTCCCCCAGTGGTCTACCCTATTGGCCGGGAGGCTTACTAGCAGCAGCCAGACACGCAATAGGGTAGTCCACCGCTGGGCAGGACCCGGCGGGGGGGCGGGGTGGTGTTCCGGGGTAGTCCCTGAGGCCTGCTTGTCCAATCATCATCTATTTCCTGCCACCCCAGAGCCTACCTAGCTTTATCTCTACTTCAAAGCTTACATGGTTTCTGTTTCAACCGCCATGTATCTATCTATAGTATTCTTTTTTTTTTTTTTACCAAAAGAACAGAACCTCTTGGTTCTGGCTCCTACCATTCTGGGGAGCGACAGTCCGGTTCCTATTCCCCCAGCAAGTCAATATGGAGTACATGGGAGACTCACGCACGCTCCTGCCCGTTATGGCTCCTGCCCGTTATGGCTGGGAGGCCCGAGTGGACGTCATTGATTACTTCCCTGAGGAAGGATGTACCACCCCTCGCCCCTGCCTAAGTTAGCCTGTGCTATTTAATTTGCCTGGTTGTTGCCAATCTGTCTGACCCCAGTCCCGGTCCTCTCAGCAGTGATGCTGTCTGGTTGGTGTGTTATGCTAGAGCGGTCTGGAACACCTACGAGTCTCCTGAAATCTCTAACACACTAAGCCCTGTTTGCCTTGTTTCTGTCTAAACCTTAAACCGTAAACCCTCAGCTGTAATGATGTCATGATTTACCTGTTCCTAGTTCCTAAAAATGTAAAACATGTGCTGTTTTTAAGCTCTAGAGTCTAAACCCTCAACCCTGAACCCTTTTCCTCTCTCTAGTTTGAGCTGTGAACCCACCCTTCCTCTCGGATGACTGTTTTTACTGCTACTTTCCTCTGAGCTAACCTATTACACAGTCCAGCATAAGTTTTCCTTCCTGTCTCGTACCTCCACTCGTGAGGTCAGTTCGCTATGGGGGGTTTGTTTTTTGTGGGTGCTACGCGTTATGCCCTATCCCTTTTCCTTTTTCCAGCCCATTTCTCTCAGCTTCTTAGGCTGTCGGATTTACCTTAGTAGCTAGCACTGTTGCTTAGGTCTTTGCTTATATCTTATACACTTCTGCTCCTTGTCGCACTATAC